AAATTATTTTTGGAAAACACAAACACCACGGCCTGGAATAAAAAGGAGCTTGTCATCAGCACTCAAAAACCTTAATCTCTGATGGTATAAAGGTGCGGTTCATTTGTGCTTATAGAGATGGCAGCTAGCACATCTGGAAAATCACCATCAATGCTGAAAAATATATACACCTTTCCATGCAACATGTGCTCCCACCCAGATGTCATTTGTCAGAGAAGGCTTTGCATATTTCAGCAAGATACCGTGTCTATCACAACAGCATGGCTTCATAGTAGCAGAGTGCAGGTGTTGAACTGGCCTGCCTCCAGTCCAGACCTTTCACCAACTGAAAACATTTGGAGCATCAAGACAAGAAAAATATGACTTCTCTGAGCTAAAACAAAATCATTTTTCAATGTAAACAGTTCGACTGGAACAGAAGTCTTAAACACAAAATGCTTTTGTGTCTAGCTATTTTGTTACATTCTCTGAATGAAACAAAAAGCTGAACAGATCTGAAAGTAAAAGAGGTCCAGATGAATAATGGCAAGGTGTACCTAATAAAGTGGCAGGTGAATGTACATTGGAGTATTAGCACAAAAATAAACAAATGTAGGAGCGCATTGAAATACCTGTTTATAACATTTTATGAATATTCCCTTTATTCCTTCTTATTTATTTGTTTGTAATTTTGGCATGCTGGGTCCTCCATAAAGAACGACTTTTGACCTTTATTACTTGATATAACTGTTCCTTAAATTCTGATTTGAAATCCGAGCTATAAATAAAACAATGCAATAGAAACAGATTTTCTCTTCATGTAGACATTCAAGGAAACATTTTTTTGTTCCAAAAGTTGAAAGCTGATTAAATCTGCAGCTCATCCCTCATCAGATGATTGGAACAGTGAGCGACAGACATCTGTTTACTTCTTGGCTGAAGCAGTCAACATTGAGGCCTCATCATCCTCTTCCTCTCAGAGCTGTACGCGAGCAGCTGTGTGGCCACTCTGACCCCGATGTGAATTCTTACCCCAGCTATCCCACCATAGACCACCAGGGGTGAGTCTTTAATGTCCACAGTAGTTCCTCCACTTAATTCTCCAAATGAAAGCAACTTCCTTTGAACATATTGCTTTCCAGTTCCTGCATCCCATTATTCCAAAATGCTAATAAAAGCTGAGGGCAGAAGGTAAATCTGATAAAGGTTTTGTCTGTTCTTTGCAGATGTTTCACAGACTCCCAGCTGAGCAGCTCCAGATCTTGTTTCCTGCCCCAAGTTCAGAACAAACTCTTCCAGATTCAGCTTGTACCTTTCCTTTTCCATCAGAACCCCAGGAGCAC